CCCGCCCCATCATCTGAAAATCCAAAATGATGTTGTAGGGGTCGGGCGCGGCTTTATCATGAGTGCTTTTATGTGAACCTCTTTTTTATAAATATATTATGCTGGATTCCGACCCAAATTGCACACTCTAAAACGATAGTATGATCATCCCCAATACGCTTGTAGTTCACGTATGCACCCCGTCGGCGAGAGAGCGAAGCCACTCTCATCTGCATTCCAGATTCTGTCCGGGCACGATAAGATGCTCACTGCATTCAACATATCTGTATATAAAAGTAACTAGTAAGGAATGTAGGCCTTCCTCCTAATTCGTCGTTACCGTCACTGCCATTTACGTATGGCCGGCCGGCGTATTTTTATTTACACGCTAGCGGGGGGAATTTCTCGATTAATTCCAATGAAACCGCTTAAAATTCCAATTTACATCCAGGAGAAAGTTTGTTTAACTTTTTCTTGAAACACTTGAACGGTTATGGAAACTGTTTGTGTTTCTAATCTCCAAATATTAATATTATTCTGCATCAAATATAAAACATTGATTTCTATTGTGATATGTAAAGGCACGAACTTACGTTAATACATACACATAATTTGTTTGTAACCAAGAAGGTGCACCATAGTAATACATTTTAACAAACACATCAACATGTTACCTAGACAACTCATCACCATAGCCATTGTAAAACCATATATTAATGATACATGTAAAATATAGATTGAAGCAATTCTCGTCGATTGGCTGTATCCTGAGTGTGATTTATATAATGGATTTTGAGTAACATTTGCATCTACCTGTAGTTGAAGAATAGATACAGTGTATAACATCAATTAAGTTGGAGTTCAATTGGAAGGAAGTAACGAGGAATATTGAAGCAAGGGAGACTGGGAGATGAGGAAAGCAGGAAGTTAGAAATTGAGAGATTACTCGCGTGATAGCCTTGCATTAATGAATCCTTTATATAATGTTGTCTTGAGAGAAAGTAGACGATTTTTTTTTTTAATTGGAGATTAGTGCAAGTATTAGATATATTGGAAATAGAATTAATGAGAAAGTTATTTTTTATCGAGATCAATACATGGGGGGGGGGGGCACCATCAAAATAGGACACTTTCTGGAATATAAGGTGCACCTACAAAGGGAAACATCAAAATGTAAATCTACCATATTAAGACATTGATAGACGTACGCGCAACGCATGTCACTATGAATATGACTGACAAAGAAAGCGGACAAAATAAACAGTTCCTCAGGTAGACAAAGGAACATCCCTTCACTGCTATTATGTAAAATGGTGTAGAACAAATGTCATATGCATATTCACCTGTTCTACACATTTTTACATAATAGCAGTGAAGGGATGCGCCTTTGTCTACCTGAGGAACTGTATATTTTGTCCACTTTCTTTGTCCATTATTTTCATAGCGTGTCACACACAGAAAAATGAGAAGAAAAGAAAGAATAATTTTTTTTAAAAGAAGATAGAGAAAAAGGAGAGAGACAGAGAGAGGGAGAGAAAGAAAGAAAGAAAGAAAAAAAGGAAGAGCATGAAACTTAACTTTACACTTAGGCCTACATATTACATTTCCGACTGAGTTGGCTCGACATGTGCTTAAGTAGTCTGCGGACGAAAGTACAACAATACGAAAACAGAAGTCATATGAAATTGTCTTTAAGAGAGAAAGAGAGGTTAAATTCTAAAATGAAATGAAAGGGGGTATGTGACACTCAAGGAGGAAATTACAATTTCTATCGCTCATGACGACTATTTGGAATTTCCTAATTTTTTTTAAAGTTCAAGAACTTCCTGGGGCTCCGCCCCATGCAAGACTCCCGGCAACAGCAAATTATTTACACAATTTCTTGCTGTCTGCTGCCTCGAGATCACTGGAGCGAAGAAAGGTAACATATAGCAAGAATCCCTATTCAGTGAAGGATTTATCCCTTTTATTATTAAAGACTCCCGACAAAGGCTCTCCCCCAGCAAAATTGGAGAGAGTTTTATGTAGTTTAAGCTTCTAACAACCACGCCCGTGAACCTTTTATTATTTACACAAAGGTAAAAGTGTATAGCAAGAATCCCTATTCAGTGAAGGATTCATCCTTTTTATGCAGATGCTTCTTCTACCATTCTTGACCAGAAGTGCGTTTCAAACTCAATGATATGGGCATCATCCCATTGAATGTTGTGTCCAGTGTTACGGGTTTGTTTTGCTACTTGCTGCCTAATCTGAGGGCTCTGTTGTGCTCTTTAAAAAGAGGACACAATAGGGGCGGCGCAATTTAAATATCAAGGAATGTATTAGAGTTTATTTCTAAAATGAAAGGAAAGGGCTATTTGACTTTCAAGAGCGATAAAAACTCTAATCCATCCCTTGAAATTTAAATTGCACTGCCCCCATTCAGTGTGCCATTTTCAAAGAGCACAAAAAGGCTTCAGATTGAAGATTCCATCTCATAAAATTGTCTATAAGAGAGAAAGAGAGTTTATTTCGAGAGAAAAAATGAAATGAAAGGGCTATTTGACAAGAGCCCTTTCATTTCATTTTAGAAATAACCTCTCTTCCTCTCTTATAGACAATTTTCTCTCTTGAAAGTCAATAACCCTTTCATTTCATTTTAGAAATAACCTCTTTTTTTTCTCCTAAAGACAATTTCTCTCTTGAAAAGGCTCTGCCAGACCCCTAAAGCTCTGCCATGTTGTATGGATCCATTAGAAAGCAAACTAAGCCCACTCAATAATTGATATATATTAAAACGTCATAGCGATTCATCCAAATAAGAAATCCACGTAAGAGGCATTTTGAATGTTTTAAGAAAATTCTTTCAAATTCCAGGATATTGGGTGTTCTTTTTCAGGAAACTCTATTTAAACGAGTGGAAGCACTGGCGGTTCTGTTTTTTTTAAACTGTAACAATTCTCCTTGGATCAGATATAGACCAAAAACAAGCCTCATTATCTTCAGTATACTCAAGTGTCATTTCGGACCTTACAGCTTTCATAAAAATCGCTTCTGGACCGTCAAAGAAAAAGTTTGAGAACCCCTGGTCTACGCATTATACACATCAGGACCAACTTGACAACTTGACAAAAATTTGAGGGGGGTTCGACCCCCCCCCCCCCCCCCCCCCCCCCTCTGCGTACCCGCCTGCATGTGCATCCCTTCCTCCTTATTCCCTTATCCATCGTTACCGTCACTACCATTTGAGTAGGGCCGGCCCCCTCCTTAATAACGACTCCCAAGCCATCAAGAGTGACCCCATAATTTATAGATTACCATTCTGCCGTTCTTTGGAGGGGCCGGGCGCGGCCTTTTCAGAAGTGTTTCTACACTAACCTTTTCATGCACTCCGTCTTAACATAAACAAGCATGCTAAGATTGTTTTGAAAAGAAGCATAATTTCGACTCAGTTTCGCATAACCTAAAAATAAGAATACGGCCAGTCACCCCCCCCCCCCCCCTTCCCCTTGTCTTTCCCTTATTCGTCGTTACTGTCACTAATTTTTAGTGCCATTTCGTTGTCTTTCTTTCTCCCCGGCTCCTCTCTTCTTTTTCTTTCCTCTTTTTTGAACTCTCTCTCTCTTTTCTTTACTTTTTTGTTCTCTTTTCTTTTATCTTCTCCTTTTCCCCCTTTTTTTCCTTCTTTTTTTTCCCTCTTTTTTCCTTCTCAATTTTTTTTGCTTCGCCAATAGGGGGGGGGGGGGGGGGGGGGGGGGGGCCGCGGCCGTTTCGGCCCACCCCTGGATCCGCCACTGTTATACGATCATACCAATTCAGCTCCATTAAAAAAAAAAACACGGTGACCGTTAATTAATTATTAAATTAAAAATAACAATACATGAGCCGGCTAGTTGTGGGTAATATAAGCAAGACGAAAATGCCAACAAAAAACAACATCGGCATTGGCTGAAATGCGACGTTAAAGGCGTTATTTCGTTTTTTTCAACGGTTTTTTCAAATTTTTCAAAATATCTAATATTTGTGGTAATACGAAAGTATTAGAAATCGTGGTTATATTTCAGCCGTCTCTGAACCGATTTTGATCAAACAAAGATGATTTTGTCATTTAAATATTATGTTCTTTCAAATTTGACACTCAGTTTTTCATTATCTCACAAAAAAATATTTTGTGTAGCGCCCTCTGCAACAGAACTCGACTATCCCTTTAAGCGCTCGCGCGCTGGCGCACTTTACGTCTGGGCTATAATAATACCTTGCAAAATAACGAAAAATTATTCTGAAGTTTATGAAGTGCTTGTTCGCGCAACTACTCGTAATGATCGTGACATACTGTATACCACATACATACAAAAATAACTCATTTCTCATGCATTATGCTGAAATTGAAACAATCACATTTTTTTCTTCTTCTTCTTCCTTTTTTTTCTCTCTTTTTTTGTAATCTCAGGGGGGGGGGGGATATTTGTACAGACCATCCCCCTCCTTCAAGCGAGGGGGGATGCATCCTCCATCCCCCCCTGGATTTACGCCCCTGCCGGAGTGGGAGGGACGGTGGGGGGGGGGGGGGGGGGGTGGGACTGTCTTCTCTATCTTTTCTCTTTTCTTTTCTCTTCTTTTTTTTCCTTTCGCTTCTCCTTTCTTTTCTCTTCTCCTTTTTTTCTCCTCTTCTACTTTTTTTCTCTTCTTTTTTCCTTTCTCTTCTCCTTTATTTTCTCTTCTCCTTTTTTTTCTCCTCTTCTACTTTTTTTCTCTTCTTTTCTTCCTCTTTTTTTCTCCTTCCTTTTTGTTGCGCCGCCAATGGGGGGGGGGGGGGGGGGCGGGCGGCCGTTTCGCCCCCCCCCCCCTGGATCCGCCACTGCTACATATTCTTTTGTGACGTGTCAATTTGCAATGTAATGTTTGTTATATATTTGTGAAAATGCAAAAGAAAAAGAAAATTAAACAGAAATAAATAAATCAAATCAAATCAAATCAAAATATAGTCAGGGAGGTGTTTTAACTCACATACCCTGATATAGTCACACTTTTTGAAAACATCAGAAAAAACTTTTGGCAACCTATCTGGCACTTCATATACATTTTAATTTTGCTTGCACAGCGATTCTGCACGTGTTAACTATTGTTGCGAACGAACTTAAAATCAAGAATGGCTTTTTGATTTGAATAAGAGATGTAGATCCAAGATTGATCTATCGTTCAGATCAAGATTCATCACTTCTTAATTTGATACAGATTATAAGTGATCGATTGATTGCTTGGTCTGGTCTGCAACACGTCTGTCTAGCTGCTGGCACCTCTCACTTGACTTTTTTTCTCCACTGGAGCTGAGCCACCGCGACACCGTCCGCGTATGTAGCGGCACAGGACAGGGCGAAACGCAGTTCGGGCACGGTGTTCGCTCGAAGTCGAATGGTGCAGTTCCGTTCTATTCTAACCCATTTTAGGTAGATATTACCTTTATTTATTACCCTGCAGTCATCATCAGCATTATGATTATTAATGGCATTATTTGTTTTGTTATTATTATGATTATTATTATGAATATTGATATTATACGATAGATACTGTTAGGCCTACCTAGTCTAGTATAGTAGTAGGGAGGCCAATGCCCGGGCGGCGTTATTTTTTTATGCGGCACAGATTGGGGCATGGCGCGTGTTAAACCTATGGGAAGTACGTTCTTTCCCTTCTGAATAGTGTCTGCACGTACGTGAGACTAGTCATGTTTATAGCTAGCGCATTAGCGCTGCGAAGAAGTTTGTATATCCATCGCGAACTATGTGTTTAGATAACATTCCTCTTCGTTTAAATTAGTTAAGTTTTATTGACTAATTATTGTGATGTTCTCCTTATTGACGTGCTGCCTCCTCTTCAGATTTCCAATTTGATTTTAATTGTTGATGTAATGATTTTCCATGCGGTAGTGGATTAAATATAACACTATTAAAAACTGACCTCTACTACTTATACTGTCTAGTACGCACACGACCAGTATTAGTCTGTAAATCAAGACCCCTTTTAAAAAAAAGCCCCAATCTGTGCCGCATAAAAAAATAACGCGCCCGGGCGTAAGGCTTCTACACAGTACGATTTGTGCGCTCGTCGTCCACTTTACAATAGGGGGAGGGCCGAGGGGGAGGGCCGAGGGGGAGAGTCCAGAATATTGGGAACTGACTGACTGAGTTTGGTTAGACTTTTTTTAGGTCAAATAAATCTTCCTTTTCTTTTTTTAACATGAATTTTCAAAAAATCTCTCTCCCCACCAATTCAATGTAGAGACAAGAGTCTCCCAGTATTTCAAAAAGGATGAAGAAAATAAAACTTTTACTATAAAACACTTTGGTCGTGGCGCGCTGGAAAACACTCTGGTCGAGATTTGTAATTATTGACACTCTTTATTTTATTCCTCTTTTCCTCTAGGCCTACAATGTAATTCTTTATTTTCTGCAATTCAACTTCCACATCTGGTGCATTCTAGGGGTCTACCACAATTTTCCATAGAAGGCCCATACGTGTCTGAACGATTTTTCAATTTTCAATTTGGGATCGTTTTTCACCATTTTTGTTTGATATTTGAATAAAAAATGTTATCAGAATAATACATTTCAAATTTCAAGTCTCACTGATGTTTCTATCAAAAGTTACAGCCCCTCCAAAACGCTGGTATATTCATATCATTTTGGTCAAAATCGACGAAAAAGACGTCCACGCAGAGTGATGTTGTTCTGCTAAATTTAGCCAAACAGCTGTATCGCGCGATATGCAAGCGTATGCATATTGTACGCATGCTGCTAAGCCAATCCGCGACTTGCAGCTTGAGCTACGCTGTCTCCGCGACATGTGCCATTGACTAGTATGGTTGGCGTTCGTCGCACAATAAACCTGGAAGTGAATGCACGTTATAGTCAATGGCAATATCGCGGAGATGTCTCCGCGATATTGCCATTGACTATAACGTGTATTCACTTCCGGGTTTATCGAGGGAATTGCCAACCATAATTTCAGTCACTATAATGTGTGATTGAATTTGGGGTTTCGTTCGTGCGCGGAGATGTTGCGCGATGTAACCATGGTTTGGACTGAGCGGAGCGCACGCCCCCTAATTAGCTGATCCACCAAATAGCGAGAAGGGTATTTTTAAACTGTTATCAGTTGTGATCCCTGGGGGCTAGCGAAAATATAATCACATAGAATTGTTCCTTAGGACTGGGACTACTTATCGATCGGGGCGTCATATCTCAAAAGTGACAAACCTCAGAGTTAGCCAGGACACAATGTTTAAATTGCTGTTTTGACCAAGATATTGTTAAAAAATTCGGGGGCTACGCCCCTTTGGAAATATTGGAATTCACCTGCTCTTTCATATGACACCTCATTCATTGATTATCACCTTCAGGATCACAACAGATAAAGGTTTGAATCTCGATTTGAAAAAAAAAAATTGACTTTTTTTGCATGGTCGCGCAATGCACGTAGGCTGCATAGGGATGCGTGTAATCTCTATGGGAAGAATTTTAGCACACAACATCGGGTGCCGCGATCAGACACCCTACCCATAATGTACTCTGTTTCTGTATTTCTCTCTTTTCCCTAATTTGTTCCTTGTTTCCCACAATTCTTCTTCTTCTCTTTGTATATTTCCATCATTCCTTGTAATTTCCATCCTATTAAGATTTATTCCTCACTTATTTTAATGTCAGTCTTTAAAGGGAACCAAAACCTTCATACTAAGTTACTTTTATTGTAAAGTTTAAAAGATTTGAATAAAATCAGTGAAAATTTGAACAAAATCGGGCAAGGAATAAGGAAGTTAGAGCTTTTTGAAATGACTAGCCACTAGAGGGCAGTATTCAATTTGATGACATCATCTGTGGACAACTCTCCATGCCTTTTGTACATAAAATTTCACAATTTTTTGTTTTCTTCGTATTTATTTGTGTTCTTAATCCGACATAACATGTGAAGTAGAATTTCATTTTGAATTCTACAAGAAAGAAGGAAAAACATGAAATTTTATGTATATGAGTTGATTTTCGTAAAATTTTACAAAATGGCGCCTCGATGACATCATCATTAAAGGTCAATGTTGAAAACGTTATTGTGCTTTGTACATATGTGCTCATTACACAGCCAGTATACACTTTCTTCCAAAATTGTTTGGCACATGACATTTATTTGTAATCTTACACATTCAGTGTAAGTTTCGTTATATTCTATGAGAATTGATTTTCTTTTTTTAACCAGAACTAAAGTTGATCTTTAATTACTCAAATTTACATTTTTTTTTTTTTTTTTTTTTTTTTTTTTTTCAGATTTCAGTTTGACCCAACATGTTACCTCAGCAGAGCAAATGGATGGCTTCGGCTGCATCTGGAAGTCACCTCCTTATTCCTTCCTCTTCTGCAACTTGTATCCTGAAGGTATTACATGTATGTCAAAAGTCAGGTAGGAAGCCAGTACTTGGACCGATGCTTCATCATTCATGTTCTCGATGGGGTGAAAACGTCATTCGAGTCCCAGGAAGAAGTTTCAGATTGCATCAAACGGTAAACGTTGGTCCCTCTGTTGAGTGGAGACTCGATGCCAGTCATGCAACTTGGGCTAGAAGAACATTCTCAACAAGTTCTTTTGCATCGTCAAGCTTCATAAGGAGATTTCCAAGAAGAAAAAATAGCGAGGAAATTGCAACAGGAGAGAAGAGTGTTTCAGAAGCAAAGAGGCTTGAAGAATTCCTGTCACCCCACAGTGGCAGTGAAGCAAGAACTGAAAGGCTTGTGAGTGAAGTAGCAAGTGATCCAGGACTTACAGGTACATTTGTCATTAATGGCAGTCAGAGCCAAAGAAATGTGAACAAACTAAGGAGTACTACTGCCTCAACACTTCAGATGACCATGGATATGCCAGATGTCTCTACCAGTGACCAGAGCCCAATAGCCACGGGTCAGGATGAGGCGTCTGCAAATAGCAGCAACTATGAATTTCAAGACATGAAATGGATGCGGGGTAAGGATACCAGACTACACAAATCCAGAGTCAGTGATTCTGATGTGATGCAGGGTGAGGAGATGGCATCTGAAGTGTATCCAGGGGACAATAGCCACTCAACAGAAGTGGAAACTGTGAGTGCAGATCTACTAGAAATGGACTCTGGAAAACACCCCGGTGTGCATAGGAGATCAAAGGCAGAGGGTTGGAGAAAGCATCCCCATCAGGAGAATGAGAAAAGGTAACATTTACGCACAGCGACTTCATTCTAAAGTCTGTTCCAGGAAAAGGAAAAGATGAAGGGATGTTTTCTCCCTTTGACATAGAATCCACAGAACATTCAACAACTTGCATGGCCATGACCTACTTGGTTGTATGAAGATGGGAATTTGTGAAAATGAAAAGAGAGGATGAAAACTCTACTTCTCACTTCATTTTACTGATCTTTACTTTCAATATGAATTTCCTCCAGATGAATGCAGATTGCAGAAAAAGTGAAATATACAGAAAATAAATTGATGAGATAGTTTTGGAGGTATTAATAATGGGAAATCATCAAAATAAGGAATCCATTCATTTATTTATTTCCAAATCAAGATAAAAACAATATAATGTAATCTTCAAAGTTCAGAGTATAATTGCAATTTGCAAACGATACTGATAATGGCAAATGTCCTTCTTTTATAGCCAGATGCATGATCTTATGACTATTGTTGTATCTATTCGCCTCCATTTTCAGCTATCATAAAGCCAAAGAGAACTTAACGATTCCCCGCGGCCATGATCTACTGTACGGCATCTCCCCGTGTCTCCTGGCTCTGCAGCATGCTAAGAGGGAGGTCCATCAGCTGTATATCACATCTGCCTTCAAGAACTCACAGAGGTCAGAGGTCAAAGACATTCTAGCCTTAGTGGAGGAGAGAGGCCTGAGAGTGTGGACAACAAACAGACGAGTCTTGGATAAGTTTTCAGAGGAGAGGCCTCATCAGGTAAACGTGTAAATTGTCTGCAATTCATTTGATCTAGGATACTGATAGATTTTCAGACATAGAGAAGGTATGACAGATCCAAGAATTTGCAAAACGAAAGTCAATGATGATCCTGGTATGATACAGCAGAGTGAAAAGATGAGAAGCATCTCCAAGAGATGATATCCTCTCAACACAAGTAGAAACTTGTGAATGCAGATCTACTTTCAAAATTGATGGAGTCTACTGTATACATGTATGACTCTAATTTGAGAATGGTATGTAAAAAGTTGAAGAGGCGAGTCACAGTGATTAGCACTTCTAGGACTGCATTAAAGGTAATACAAAGTTCTGGGAAATTTTGAAAATTGGGTGGATAGTGGTTCTTTACCATTTTGATATATTTGGATGCCCCTGCGGATGTTTTATAAGCACTAGAACTTTTAGCCCCTAAAACACTTCTGCTTTCAAGAAAAAATGAATATAAAAATTTACCGGTGCTCCCGGTAAATTTTGATAAATTTCAAATAGCGCCTACAGCCGAACAATGGTTACATGTAGCTGCAACTATGAAAATCTCAGAATATGTAGTTGTGATATATAATTTTCAAACAGGAATAGCTAATTGGTCGATTTTAGTCAAGAAACATTGTTTTATAGCTTAATTAATATCTTGACTTTGAGAGGGAGCTATACAACGTAAAGAGATTATTATTTACAATTTCATAGCTTTAGACTCGATTTCAACCGCGACAACGATCACTGAATATTGTAGGATCGCATTGCTTCCAATAATCATTTGAACCAAATTCATGACCCCATACCAAAAACTTTGTATTACCTTTAATGTCTTTACCAGATTATCTACACGTCGTCATCAGATCACTTCATTAAAGACAATTATTTGGTTGAAATATTACAACATGTCTTTAGTGTAGCCCCTTATGCCTTAGTCACACCTTTGCGTATTTGGCTTGCGTATTGCCGCATATTTACGGCAAGCCGTTTTAACATTTATTTCTTGATATCAAGAAATGAATTCTTGATATCCTGAAATCGACTTCGTGATATCAAGGCTTACCATTGCTTTACAACAGCTTGCCATAAAAACGCAGCAATATCGCCTTCTTTCTCTCGCATACAGATTCCCACGTGTGCACATACTCAAACAAAGACCACACCCACACACATTCATATAACAACATATACAAAGAGGAAGGAATCTGGGCCCTGTTTCGTCAAACTTGTTTTCAATAACAAAATGTTATATACCTCACTTAAGAAATCCAGCCATCTGATTGGTCGAAATTGGAGTCATGATTTTAGCCATTCCCGTAAAGAAACTAAAAATGCCAAAACCGATTAATAGTCCAAGAGTGAAATCACTCAAAATATGCAAAGGTGTGACTGAGGCATTAGGCATCACCATCATTCACACTTGATTGTTGTTATAGCACAGTATATTTTGATCATTTCCTCAGGGTGTGTGCATGGAGACCAGTCGTCTCTACTTTAGTCCTGTCCGAGAAGAGGAAGACGAAGGTGAAGTTCCTGCTTCCTCGGTGAGATTGGTCCTCGACCAAATCAAGGTAAACAGACTTCATGTGTTTTTTTAACTCATTTCTATTTTGTATGCCTTCCTCACCAAAAGGTGGTGCAAGAGGCAGAGATGCCAACCAGTACGATTTAATTGTATTTATTATGATAATAAGAGTGAAATACGATATCACCTCTTAAGATACGATTTTTTTTGTGGGGGGGGGGGGGGGTTTAACCTTTAAAAACAGCAGAATCGCATAGAAACATGTACAAGTAAACCCCGCAACCCCAACAAAAACTTTGCTTTACAATTTTCTCATTAAATTTGAATGAAAAAGCAAGTATTTTACTTGATTGCACGTACCAGTTAAACATTTTTCTGAAATTTAACTGGCGAGTTTTCGTGAAAATCTGATTTTAAAAAAAATACGAAATTAAAGGATACTCGGTCTTTTTTTTGTGTCAAGAGGTTGGCATCTCTGAAGAGGCACTAATATTAGTCTGTTAGTATTTCAGTAATGCAAACATGTAGTGCTAGTCTCACTCATGAATTAGGTGAAAATAAAGTTATCATGGTGCATTTAGATTGTCTGAAATGAATATTGGGTATAATTTCATTCAAATAGCTTTGAAAGCTGAAGGAAAACAACACAGATCTGGATTTTCTGGTTGCATAACTGTTTTTTCTCTTTCAGATACAGGGAGATGGTGTGGTGTAGTTTACTTGTTGCTACTCTTGCATTGCTACACAGTAGACTGTAATTAATTAACTGTTCAGGAATCAGGGACTGTATCATGATGTCAAGTTGAAAATAAGATTCCATGAGCAAAAGCAGATTAACTCTTGAAACGGTGGCATGATCGATAGTCCATTTATCTCTTTAAGATGTGATTGATCATGTTATGATAAAGCTAAAGATAATCAAATGTTTTTTCTCCGCCTGTAGGACCCAATGAATCTAGGGGCTTTGCTACGATCAGCATATTTTCTTGGTGTTGATAAAGTTATAGTCAGCAAAAAGAACTGGTAAGTATGTGTATTTCAAAGAAATTTATTTTTCTTCTCACGTCATACAGTGCGTCCCAGAAAAAACGAAACCGAAAATTATTAATGTTTTATCATAACTTAATCACAATTATGATTAATAAATAACACATATTTGTCAAGCTTAGATCATCTTCTTCCAGTTGAAGCAACTCATATGATGCATATTTCATGCATGAGTGATTTAAAAACAATTTGAAGAGAGGCAACTAAAAAGTCATTTGCCACTGGGCAACCTAAAAGTCCCGTCTTGACTGCCCGGCTGGCAACCATAAAAAAAAACTTAAGTAAGAGCCTTGCTTGATCTTATAGTATTTTCTCCACCTTGGCCATAATAACATAAATGCACATGTGCAGTGAACATATTGAGAAAAAAAAATTTGCACAGATAAAATTCATGCCCCAAGATGAATTTCAATGTTCAACAATTATTTTATTTGAGCTCATTCTTTTAATTCTTAATTTAGTACCAGCCTTCGTAACTCCTTTTTCTGTTTCTTCATCAGTTGTTCCCTGACTCCCGTAGTAAGCAAGGCCAGTAGCGGTGTGATGGAGATAATACCTGTTTATGCCACAGCACTCATCCCTTCATATCTTGAGGTAACATCATTTATACAGGCCTGATAATTACTTGATTTAAATCAGTTTCCTGATTTATTTATTGTTTCCCCAATTTTTTTTTTTCCTGATTTTTTTTTCTTCCCCAATTTTATTACTCAAAAGGGGGGAATGTTGTTAGATGCCATTTCCCCCCCGATTCTTTTTTTTTTGGTGGTCGAGTAAAAAAAGCTTCTTTTTTAGTGCTCACTATCACCCCTGTATGTAAGATTGATATGATATATGCTATGATTTTGATTATTCATTTACCAATAACAAGAGACAACATTTAATGCAATCATGCATAAAGCTACAAACAATGCAACTGAAGCTTGCATCCTTCTGTTATGCCATTGATTTAAAGGCCGTCTGTACTAGTTCGGCCAGAAGGGATTAGACCACCAAGCAAGGTCACTGACAGGTGGCTATCTCATCAACTCAGCTCTCAATTAACATAAGAAAAAGAGGATCATGGGGGACCAACATGCACCGATTGGGGAAGTTTTCTATATAGAGGGAGCGAGTAGCTATAAGTAGTACAGTGGGGCTTTAAATTTAAATTAAACTCCATATGTGGGGAGGAGGAGGATGTATATTTTATGTGGGGTTTGTATTATTATTTTCAGAATGAGAAGCTGAAAGGATGGAGTATAGTTGGTGCATCCGTTGGTGGTTCCAGCTCTTCAGAAGATGTTATCCCTTGTCACGAGTACAACCCGACAGGACCGGTCCTTCTTGTAGTCGGTAAGAAATGAGAAGTTCAATGTGGAACGAAGTTAGAGCCTGTGGGTCGTCAGTTTCCATGTGCAGAAGGTCATACATGGTGTAATTGGCTGACAAAACTTACACTGAATGTTCAAGATTACAAATAAATGTCATGTGCCAAACAATTTTGGAAGAAAATGTATACTGGCTGAGTAATGAGTATAGAAAGATAAGGAAATCAAGTAGTACTAGCCCCGACACCATTTGTGTTGTCCCATATACATCTTTCTGTGTAGTGAGCTTTTTACTTTACCAAGACTGAGCCAAATTTGTTATGAATTTGATGACTCCAGAACCTTGCAGTACACACCAATACTTACATGCTACATGATCAACTTTCTCTGATGCATTCCACACCTTTTTTTTCACAATGTAATCGCATGACCAGAACTCAAGTTTTTTTTAATATGTACCTGGTAGGATTTATACCTTAAAGCCTGAAAGATAAAGTTGGGTTCTGGTCATGCGATTGCATTGTGAAAGAACGTTGTGCAAAGGATCAGAAAAGATTGATCATCTAGCATATAAGTATTGGTGTGTACTGCACGATTCTGGAATCATCAAAATTAAAAGAAATTTTCCCCAGTCTTGGTTAAGTTACAAGCACTGTACACAGAAAGATGTATATGGAACTACACGAACATGTGGCGTAAAAAATCTGTCCCGATTTTTATGATGTTACATGCCATATTTAGAATATTAAGGCATTTGAAGAGCCATGCTTTCCACGGAACATCTTTTATCTAATGTTCTTCCACACTTGCATAATAACAATGATAACGCTCACAACTTACTTTTCACCTCTTCCCAGAACTCAACCTTCTCTTTAAAGGCACTGAGCACTATAGTTACTGGTGCTATAGCCAGGGTAATATTATTGAAAGTCCTTTGGATTCTAATGCTCTATTCAAAAACAGGATATCATTGTTATAATTGCTCTCTGTTACTGTCCTTTTGTTTCCAGGAAATGAAGGATTTGGTCTCAGTAGTGACATCAGTGAGCAGTGCTCTGAGTTCATCTCTATACCGGCAGGAAGACAGCTGCATGCTGGGATAGACTCCCTTAATGTCTCCGTAGCAACAGGTGATATTTTAAATTCAAATTCAAATTGTATTGGTCCAAAAGGAAATTTGTTGCGT